AAGGGGGTGACCACCCTTGGCTTTCTTACCCAGCCCTACTGGCTCCTTTTATGGAGTGCTCATAACTGCAGCATGCACACACCTGAAGTGCACATGTTCAGGATTTAGGCTATTAAGACCCTGATTTATCCCTAACTCACTTGGGATTTGCAAACCAACCCTTGTTGCTTGAGGCTTTAGAGCCTGCAGAGCGACAGGCACTCACCAAACCTCCTCTTGCTGCCCCAAATTCAGCTCAGAGGACAACACCCACAGTGACTTCCCTTGGGGGTCACCAAGAGGAAGCATAGACATAATGACTGCAATTTTGCAGCAGTCCTGGGCTATGCAAGATGCTTTTAATCTCTGTCAGGAGAAGCAACATTATGCTGAAGCAGCCACTGGGTAAACAGCAAGGTTGCTTTGCTCATTCCTTACAGTACTATCAGAATTCCTTACAAATTTATCCTCTCTTTTTCACCTTTGATTCTAGTTAAATAAAGGGAAGGCACAAAAATCCTGTTACAAAGGAGCAAACAAAATTCCTTGGTTTTGAGAGACTTCTCCCTCTCCAGACTGGCTTATAGAACAAGTGCTCTTCTGTGGAAATCAACCCTCTTCTAAGATTATTGTAAGGCAATATTTTAATATAAGTTACAAACTACAACAAGTTCATATTTCAGTGGTCCTTTCCCTCCCTCTTCTTTGTTCGTGCTAACTCTTGTCCTTTTACCCATTTTTCAACAGAAGTACTAACAAGGAATAATTGAGAATGATTTATGATCAAGTTTACTTGCCAAGTCTTTTTATACTCAAATATTCACTTTGTGGTTTCCAGTAATAGTAGGGTAGGCAGTATCCTTTCTCCTGCCCTCCCCAAAAGAAAGCAGAAAGGAATTATCCATGGGTGTAGATACACTGAGGTGTTCACTATGTGTGAGCTGGCTGCCTCACAGCCAGATCCTGCAAAACTACTCAGCATCACTCCAGACTCCAGACTGTGCCTTCATTATGACATATCAGAAAAGCCTGCAGCAAGTTAGAGACAAAAACCATGCTCAGCAGCAGGTACAATGTTTCTTTCATTCTAAATGCTTCATGTGAAAATATTCCAGGTGCCCACTTGGAGTGGAGGTACTTTGTAGATGGACAATTTACAAAACCGATTGGCTGGGTTCAGACTTGGCTTTCCCTGAAGGCATGCTCATGTTTAAACCAAGAGTTCAACTTAAAGTTTAGCTGCTAAATTATAACAAAAATCTCAAGAGGTCTTGTTTTGTTGCAATGCATTCATGACATTTTCCCACTATAGTTCAGTTTCCCTTGAAACTGAAGTTTATGCTGACTGGGTGGGCTCTGAAAGAGCTTGCATCTGCTTCCAGGGATACCGGACTCCTCCTGTAACTGCCTGCACCATAGGTGCCACACACTGTGATACAAAAATATCTTCCTGTGGCCAGCCCTGCTGCAGCGGGGAGTTTGGGGAGTGGCAGTCAGAGATAAAGCAGGAGGGCTGGCTGTGCTGCCCTGCTCAATAAGAGCCCCCTTGTGCTCACACAGTGGATCCATCCTGGGTCTGCCCACAGTGATCCCTGGTCAGCCACAGCACAGGGAACACCCAGGCATTTCTTACAGACCAAGGAGGGTATGATAAGCGAATGACCTGCATGTTGCAAAGCAAAGAATTGGCTACATGACAGATGAAATAAGATATAACAGGGGTAAGACTTAATGAACCACAATAAATATACTGCAAGCACTCTTCTGTGTATGCAAACCAGAAAATTAAATCCAGAGGATGCTGTTGGCTCAAAAAGCCAACCAGATCCTGAGCTCCCCTCCTCTGGAGGCCAAAAATATGAATGAACGAAAGCAATCTGGATCCTATTTGGTTGTTCAGCTCAGATGACTCATCTTCCCTGAGCTCTCATCTGAGCTCTTCTTAGGCTAATGACAAGGAAACAAACACAGGCAGAACAGTATTGAACTTTGCATCATTTTGGCAAAGTTGTTTTTCCAGGATTTTGTCACCAGATACTGCTTGCACTTCTTATAACACCTGTGCCCCACGAAACAACCAAAGGTTTAATAAGCAAACCATTCAGTTTTCTTTCAAGCCACCAATAATTTCTACTTGAGTCCCAGGACAAACTAAAATTTTACCCAAACTTGCTGTTTGATGGAGCTTAAGGCAAGCAGCTAGTCAGGGCAGCTCCCACAGGCTGTCTCCTTACGTGCAGTGTGCTCTCCTTCAGCTGTGACCCGAAATGTCCCATGCAGAAATAGAGCCACAGAGTGCAGAAGACAAGGGGGAGACCCTGGGGATGCTCTGTGCTGAGTCAACTACCCTCACACAGGAATGGTAATGTGAAGTGGTGGCTGTGACCCCTCTAAACCCCGTGGGTGAGGGAGGGAAAGAGTCACATTCCTAAGACAAGGCCAATAGCAATGCCAAGAGTGAGAGTCACAATGTATCGCTGCCCTCCTCTCTCAGGAACTCCTGCCCTTGCGAGTCTATTTGAGCATTCTATACAGCACTTAACTCCTGAAGGAACAGAGTGACACACAATTATTAAATGAAAAACAAATGTTGTAAGCACAATTTTATGACTGAAAGCAGTTTAATTGCCCTTGGATGAGATTTTTGGGTGACAGACTATGAGTTTTACCCTGCTTTGAATATTTGTGTGCCTCTGAGCTTGCTTACTTCCTTCACGTGTACTGACTACCCTTTAAAAGGTATCACCTCTCCTGACAAGTTTCTGGGTCCCCACCAGCAGAAAGTGGTGCCTTCTCGACTTCATGAAAAGGCTTTCCATCCTTCCTCACACATTCCAAAATCTTCATATCAATAGCAACTTGCCTGGAGGGGGAACGAGCTTGGCAATCCCTCGGCAGAGGGGTCTAGTGCTGCCCACCCCCATCGCGTGACATTGCGACGCTAATTGACCTTTTGGTAATGCCGACGCCAAAGTAAATCCTGTGATACCTCAGGTCCTCCGCTGGAAGGGTCGGGCCCTGCTGGCTCCAGAAGAGGCTGCCGGGGGTCGCACCGGAGAGGAGGATGCG